TATTAAGTCAAGTGGGTTAAGGCCCCTGGTGGGCTCATGCACGTGCTGCTCCAAGCAGTGAAAAGCACGCATGTCTTCAGTGTACACACCTGCATGAGTTGTCTTGGTGCTGCCGAGCCAATCCACGTTGTGTACGTTAAAATCTCCAGCCAATACCACATATTGACAAGATTTACGGCCCAGGTCAATGCCAGCACTGATGGCTTCAAGGGTACTGATGTCATTGTCGTGGCAGTAGCCAGAGCGATATGCAGCACACACAGCCACTGACTTCTTATCCACAGTTCTGAAACTCAGCCATATTAGCTCCTCATTACCGACCTGGATGTCATCGAGTTCTCGGAGGGCCAGACTGGCTTTACCCCAAACCGCAACTCCTCCTCCATGAGCTGTTCGATCCTTCCGCAGTGGGGAGTAGTACCCAGGCAAGGACAGTTCGGAATCAGTAGCCTTCTCAGGGGTTAGCTTGCTCTCTGTTACAATGGCAATGTCAGGTTGGTGAACGTGTACAGCATGGTGAAAGTCACCAAGTTTACTCAGTAGTCCAAATGTGTTCGTCAGCAGGATCCGAAAGGATCTAATTGGAGCTTTGAGCTTGAGTGTCGGAGGACTCGGAGAGAGCGTCACTGTGTGAGCCGGACAAGGTGTCCCCCTTTAGAGCATCACTGAGAGTGTCACTGTGTGAGCCGGACAAGGTGTCCCCCTTCGGACGCTCACAGTGGCGCCAAACCCGCGCGTACAGTGGGCGAGGCCAAAAGTATGGAGCAGTGGCGATTTCAAGGTCAGTCGCATCGATCATCAAGCGGGCAGACACTTTCCCATCTTCTGTGGTGTGTATGCTGCACTGGTGAACCTTCACCGGTTTTTTTACTGCTGCAGAGCGTTGCTCAGTGAATTCCTTGACACTTTCTTCACTGCTATGTGAGTTCAAATTGCCCACATAGATTACGGCTTTCTTCACTCTGTGAGGTTCGTTTGATACCAGTTTCCACGTGTCATCCGTGATTGGCTCTAGCTTCAGTGGCTTGGGCTTGACAGTGGGCCTCTCAATTGCCTGGGACTTGTCCTCATCCTCCGTTGACGTTTCATGGTCACTGGCAGGGTCACCCACGCTACGGGAAGTGCTACGGTGTTCGTCTGCATCAGTGATACACGTGGCAGCCTGGCCTGCGCGAGTACGGGTACGCTTGCTGGTCCTTCCCGCTGTACTCTCCACCGTACGCTGGCTGTGCTGGTTGTGGGCAACTGCTGGAGGAGTCAGGGAAGAAGCACTTTTTTTATTTTTTTTTATTCAACATCTCCTGGCCCGTCCGAAGACTGCCAATAAACATGAGAGGTCAGGTGATAGCCAACCACGGCAAGCTAAAAGGGAGAAAAAGAAAGATGCTGTCAGAGAGGGAAAGGAGATAGGGAGAGAAAAAGAAAGGGAGGCACATTAGTAATACATGGGATCACTTCGGATGAGACAGTGTGGAAAGCTGGACTTTGAATTTCCTGATATCCTGGCATGTCTTAATGCTAGTAGGCAGGTTAGACCAAAGGGAGTATGCTGAGAAGAAAGGGGATTTCAAAAACAGAGAGGAACTAGCTCGGGGCAGTGATAAGGCATTGCGTGTTGGTCTAGTGGTAACAAACCAGTTGTACTTGGCAATATGTTTCGGGACTTGGGCTAGGAAGATTTTTTGCACAAGGATACAAAGATGCTGCTGATGTCGGGCAAGAAGAGGGTGCGTGGAAGCAAGTTTATAAAGACAAAGGGAGGCAAATGTTTGGTCTTTTCGAAACAGAATTTTCAGAAGCAAGCGTTGATGTACTTCCAGTCTGTGGAGTAAAGTCTGAGACAACCCGCACCAAGCTATATCGCAATAGTCAAATATAGGCAAAATGTACGACTTAAAGAACAATTTTCTGCAGTTATCATTCAAGTGTTGGCAGTGGGGTTGTAGCATACCTAAGGACGCACTCGCACGCTTGCACACAGACTGGACTTGTGGAGACCAGGAGAGTTGGCGGTCGAGAATAACGCCCAGGTGCTTGTGCTCGTTAACAACTTTAATAGGTGTACTATTTAGACCAGGAAAATACAGAAGCTGAGTGGGGGGCGAGGGAGAGAAGAACATGGCCTCGGTTTTGGCGAGGTTAGGCTTCAGTTTCCAGGTTTCCATCCATGTTACTGTAGCGTTGACCCCGGACTGCATGGAGGCCGTGAGGTTGTCTGCCGAGCTGTCGGAGCACATCAGAGCAGTGTCGTCAGCAAAAAGACTTACATTTGGTACAAGGGCTGGCAAGTCATTAACGTACAGTAGAAATAGGAGCGGCCCAAGTATGGACCCCTGGGGTACCCCAGACACGACTAGTAATGGGTCTGATAGGGAGGTAGATACTCTGACAGTCTGGTGGCGGCAGGAAAGATAGGATGAGAGCCATTGCAGGGCTGGACCATGTACCAAGAAGACGGACTCTAGCTTTGCAAGCAGACCACGATGCCAGACGGTGTCGAAAGCTTTCGCTAGGTCAAAGAACACGATGCCAACATGCCGCCTGAGGTTCCGCTGGGTGTAGATGTCTTGTACTAGACGTGTTAGTTGGAAAGTTGTGGAGTCTCCACGGCAGAAACCGGATTGAGATGGTGAAAGCGCTGGGGTGACGTGGCAGTACAGAGACTCAAAGAAAATACGTTCACAGACCTTTGACACAGCGGGAAGGAGAGAGATTGGTCTGTAGTTGCCAGCCTGAGAGCGTTGGCCTTTCTTATAGATCGGGACGATAACAGCAGATTTCCAGACGGACGGAAATACTGCTGTATGATATGACATGTTAAAGAGCAGGCACAAGGGATAGGACAGAGATGGCGCAAGCCATTTGAGAACCTCATTGGGTATGCCATCTTCGCCAGGGGACTTACAATTCTTCAGGAGTTTGAGGTGCTTACAGACGGTAGCAGTCGTGGTAACGACGCGTGTGAGTGGTGCGCTAAGTTCAGGGGCTGGGGACAGCGATGGAATGTCCCAATTCGGATCCTCCGGAATGCCGGATGAAACAAACTGCTTGTTCAGTGTGTCTGCAATCGCCTTCACATCGTGCTGGCGGTTGCCATTGGAGTCCGTCAGGTACTGGATTGGCGCGCGGGAGGTCCCGCGGCACTGGTTGCGAATGAATTGGTGGAGTGATGGGCGATCGGGGGAGGAGAGTGTTGCAGAAAGAGAGTTTAGAAAGGAGCGGTGTGAGGTACGAGAAAGGTGCTTGACGAAGTTGCGTTGAACTCGGTAAGCCTCCCGGTTAACCGGCGTTGGGAATTTCTTGTAGATGCTGAAAAGATCACGCTTGCGCTTCACTTCAGATACGAGGGACCGTGTCACCCATGGGGGACTAGATGTCGAGGATGTTGGGTTGGAATGTTTCCGGTTGTTGTAGCCGATAGCAAAGTTAAAGAGGTGCTGTTGGAACCCTCGTTCAAGGACGGCTGCAAAGTGATCTACCGCGGCGTCAACAGTTGGAGAGCCTTCTGGTTGCAGAAACGACCAGTCGTGGCAGGAGAAATCAGCGTTCATAGAGTCCCAGCACTGAGAGGGAACTCGACGGAAGCGATATGGGAACGGTTTGCGAGAAGGAAGTGGCAGGTCTGGGTCCGAGGGCAATGAGACGGCGAACTGGCATGAAACCATGAGATGGTCCGAGGAGCCAAGAGCGCAAGCTGTGTGAACGTCCGTCGCCAGCAGGGGTTGGTTTGTGAAGACAAGGTCTAGACATGACTGTGTTCCGGAAGATGTTGTGTGCGTTGGACTCTGCACCAGCTGATCCAAACCGAAGCAGGTAAGGGTGCGAAAAAGTGCCGCCCCAGCAGGACACGTTAAATCCGATGGGCACCACCGTTTGTGCTTACTGTTGAAGTCCCCAGCCATTATGACATGGTACGATGACATGGGAACGGTTACCAAAGCACTAGCTAGCATATCACAGAAGTGGTCTATTTCCGTGGTTTTGACTGAGGGCGGACGGTAGGTACAGCAGACGAGGATGGGTGTCGGGGAGCCTAAGATTGGGTGAAGCTCAACCCATACGGATTCACAGGTCGGACGAGCAAGGTCGTCGCGAACTTGGACTCTTCCGAAGCGATTTTGCCGGACAAGAATCGCAACTCCACCATATCCTCTGGTTGCCGTACCGGATTTGTTATCATGAGGTGGTCGGTCGCGACGAAATGTGGTACCGACCACCTCATGATAACTTGCTGCGACAATGGCGGACTCCCTGAGGGCGACAACCTCCTCGTTCAGGCCTGCAATTTGCCTCGATAAATCATCGATCCTATTCTTTAGTCGTGTCTCGCGGTCTGCGGACTCCGTCACAAATGTTGCCAGCGTCTTTACTACGTCTAAAATCTAAGACTCGATCCCGGGGAGGGAGCACAACAATTTTACCTCCGAATCCGTCAGCCCGCGAACGGCAGCTTTTGCTGGAGGCATGGCGGAGGTAGGCCAAAGCTATCCGATGTCTACCTAGTTTCCTACTACTACTACTATACCTAATGTTTGAAACCAGGCCGGCCTGATGCCGGTTTCCTGGCGAGAAACTGTGGGAGCCTCAGAGCGCAAAAACCTGCACCCTGCTCCAAAGTTTAAAAAAATTGTCGCGCTGGAAACGGAGCGTCTCTGTAAGTTTGTATCCCTGGTGATGTTTGTGCCTGGAGAGCACTATATAAGTGGTGCTCTTCAGGCACAATCTTTCTCAGCCTACTCAAGCTCAACTGATGAGGGGTGAATTCCCCGAAACACTGTGTATTGAGCAGGGAGTGGTGCTTTCTTGCAAGCTTGCCGAGTCGAAGGTTCGATGGACTTCTCGTATGGTCTCGATGGCAGTCGTGAGTCAGTCAAGTGTCAAGTAAAGTCGGCGAAATAGCGCGAGCTCCAGTGTGGGGAGCAAACCATTTCTTACAAATCATCGCCTAAGTCGCACCCACTATTTCGTTTTAGAGTTCTGCTCAAGTTTATTAGCCTTACAAGAAATGTAGACTTCTCAAACCATCGAACGCATTGCCTTGCAAGGAGCTGATTTGATTATTGTCCAAGTTCCTGAATGAAAACGAACACAAAAAGAGAATAGCATAGTCTTGTGTACCAAGAAATCTATTGATGTCCTGCTTATGTAGGATGTAGTAAAAAAGCATCTTTAGGTCCCTTGCACACTACGTACAATTAAAAAGTTGCTTTTTAGCGTATGCGTCACTTTCAAGCAAGTCCTGATCCGTTCCATTGCACACTTGAAAAGACATTTTCATTTTAATAAAATACTCCTAAAAATTTCTATGGCAACTGCCGCCTCACCGGTGCTGCATGGAGATAGTGCTGAACATTTAAAAATTTTAAACTTTTCTCTTCGAGCTTGGTCTGCAGAAATGTTTTTCGAGTGTTGGTGAAATGCTATCACTTCGACATGGATCTGCGAATTCCCATGGAATGCCATGTCCAGGCCAACACTCCTAGCATACAGATTGAGGTCTTCAGCGATCTCTTTCTCCTTCTGTGACCTCTTCTTCATCTTTACACTTTTCACCCGCTGGTAGTGCGCCCACAGCTCGATCAACTTCCCCTCCATCTCATCATTGAACACAACTTTCGGCATGCTGAACTTCATCTTCTCAAACTAGCTTCAACACGACAGAGAGAAACAAACAACGTGCAACTACTCAAAACAAGGAACATATCGAAAGGCAAAAAAAGCTGACGACAAGAGTCAAGAAGTCTCACAGAAGAACAGGTGGAAAGCAAACTACAGTCCAGAAATGCAAATAAAACATAACGCGCCATCGCATACCCGTCTGGAGTTTGCTGAATACGTTTGCGCAACATTTTAGGTTTCCTGCTAAAAGCAGACCGCTTGCATGGTAACTTTTACAGGAACGCAACAAAAAATGGGATTTTCTATGTAGTGTGCAAGGGGCCTTAATAATTAAAAAATTAAAAATAATTGAATCCATCATGGTTTAGGAAATTAGAGGCCACATGCCACGTACTGCTCTTTTCATCATGTTTTATAGAAATTATATACTTGGTCCGCACAGGTTCAACTGGCGTTTTATTCACTCTTTTCTCAGGAAGAAAATACATATAATATTTGAAGCATGCCACGATTACAAAACAATACGTACATGATAATGTACGTGTCAGTGTGCAACTCAGCCGAAAATTCAGGCGAGTTACACGTCCGCCTCGAGGCTATCGTCGCTGTAGGAAGAGCTCAAAACATTCGACCGGGTAGCTGCTGCACGTTTCATACATGTAGTTTGTTCCACTTCTCCTCATCTCGAATCTGTGCTCAAAGGCAGTGCGTGCCTGTCACCTTGCCGCTTCGAAGCTGAGTGACACTGCACGCGTGTTTACTGTAAGCATTATCTCTTTTTCGTCCAAATTCCTTTGCTTGAGACAAAAAAAGCAAAGCCACATCAGCAGTTTCCTTTTCTCAAATCGCCTCTTGCGCTTGTCGCAGGTCTACTTGCTGATCAGCACCCACGCCAGCCGCTGGTGTTTGTACAGTCAACTTTGCGTATAACAACACTCGGCAGGGCACAAGAAAAGTGTCCATATTCGCGAAGTTCCCTTATACCCAAGTCTCATTATAATTACTTGTATGTATTACAATCACATGAGATTTTGCTCTGGGCATGGAAATTCTGTCGTTCTTTTTGAATTTTTCAGACATAACCTGGAATTTGAACCCGCACTATCGCCCTTCATGCATCCCCCGATATACTTTGCATACATACTAATTCTTCCGATATGCTAAGCCTCGACCAAATATGCTTAAAAAAAGGAGCATATTATGCTCGTCGCATATCAGGGAAAACGTCCATAATATGCTAACGGCTTAGCAAGATATGCAAAAAGAGATGCCAAATATGCCAAAAGATGCTCGACATAAGCAGAAAGTGTAGATCATTTCAGTAAAATTACAATCTTTGAATATTCACTGGCTTCACGGCCATCATGCTTAAGGTGCAAATCAAAACACATGCGGAATAGTATGGCTGGGGTCTGTCCCCAGCAACCGTAACGATAGTGTTCATCCATGTGGAAATGTACCAAACGCCTCAACCATTCCAAATTCATCCATAAAACGCATTTCTGAACGCATTTTGTCCATAATTATTATGAATGTATTGTCCTCATTTTAGCCAGAATATTTGAATAATATGCTGGCTTCATTCCAATATTCCCTTGTCGCTCACTATGCCATATATAAACTTTCTCACAAAATATGCGGATATATGCGCAAGCATATTTGGTCGAGGCCTACAAGATGCTTCACGTTATGATCTTGCATTTCAAAGCCCTATTTGATTATTGTGGTCAGCCGTCTTTTATGGGACGGTACGGGACAGGTACGGTCGAGGGTAATACGACACTGTCTACCGCATTGATGACCTAGGCAAAAAAAGCATGAGGATGTTATACATTTTTCAATTATCATATTTTTTTCCTCAAGGCATAACCTGGAATTCGAACCCGCACTATCGCCCTACATGCATTCCCCGGTACACTTCGCATTCCTACTCATTCTTCCAAGTTGCTTCACGTTATCATCTTGCGTTTGAAAGCCCTAGTTGGATGTTGTGGCCAGCTGTTTGTTGCCAGCTGTCTTTGATGGTACGGTACGGTACGGGACAGATACGGGATAGATACGGGATAGCGCCAGGCGTGACACAAACAAACAAACAATCAAATAAACACCAAACGAGAGGGAAGCTCAGGGCCCTACGCTATGCTTTTTTGCCTTTATGACCTAGGCAAAAAAGCATAGGGATGTTATAAATTCTTGTAAATTTCTCCTTTTTTAAAGACCTAATCTGAGATTCGAACCCGCACTATCGCCCTGCATGCATCCCCGACACACTTCGCATACATACTAATTCTTCCCCGCAAGTTTGCATTACAGTCCATTCATAAAAAGATGGGCTCTGGCTCTGGCGAGCTCCCGTATTTGGCGATTTTTCGTGATTTCATCGTACACAGTGCAGTTGAAATTTGAAAAAGGGTCCAAAAAGGGTACCTGAACTGGGGTTCGAACCGCACAATGCACTGTTGCAGACGGGGTCAAACGGCCTGGATTTTTATGGTTTTTCCCAATTCAATGCTTTGGGGGCAAAACCTGGCCGAAATCCTATTCTTGTTATGGCTTGCTTTTTGGAGAAAAAAACTTCAGAAACATAATTGGAAGAGGATTCCATAGAGGATTGCAGAAAAAACTTCTAAAAAAACTCAACGTTTGACCCATTTATGGCCAAAAGCTAGAAGTTCATTTTTTTCTGAATGGACTGTAGGTGGGACTGCTGGCGCTCTTCACGCGTGAAAGAGGACACCATAACATTATACTTTTTCTCTACCATAGACCGCACAGTTTCCATGTGCGCAGCTGCAGTAGCACGACGCAAATCAGCACGATTAAGCCTCCTATCCTCATTTCTTGCATTTGTGTCGTCCGACTTTTCCTGGGACCGGCGTTGACTCTGCCGATCACGGGCGTTCTGGACTCGACGGGATGTCTGCCCTGACGTTTCCTGGGACTAGCACTGACTCTGCCGATCAAGGGCGTCCTGGAGTCGACGGAATGTCTGTCCTGACGTTTCCTGGGACCGGCGCTGACTCTGCCGATCACGGGCGTTCTGGAGTTGTTGGTGTTGTTGATTTTTATTTTACTTTGCAAGGCCTAACGGGCAATGGTGCCCAATTCTATGGAAGTGAATTTCAAAAGGGAGAGAGCTACGGGGAGAGAGAGGGAGAGAGAGAGAGAGGGGGGAGGGAGGGAGGGAGGGAGATGATAAGCAATTTTGCAGCGTCAACAGAGCGATTTAGCCGTGTCAAAAGAGCGATTTTGAAGCGTCAACAGAGGGAACACAAAGAGTTTATAAGCGCACAAGCTCACAGAGAAGAGTAAATGACGTGGTGTGTGGACGGGAAAATTCAGACAGAGCATTCATTGCAAGGTGAAGGGGATGAAGGCAAGCTTCAATTGCTGGGCAGCCTTGATCTCCCTTACACTCCTTGGAAGAGCGTTCCAGGCCAAGGCTGCCTGAAAGGCCAGGCGAGATCTGCCGGCTTCTGACTGTGCCGAGGGGACAATGAGGCCCCTGGAAACCTGGTGCCGAGTGGTGCTGCCAGCTGATGGTGAGAATAGGTCCTGGGGGACACTGCTGGCTTTCCCATTGACACAGCGCCACACCAGGACGAGCCGCTTCTGGGCGTAGCACTCGCAAACTCTGTACAGGGACATCCGTTCGAGCAGAGGCTGAGCCGAGGTATGAGGCGGCAAACGTATACCGCTCTCGCCGCTCGGTTCTGCAGGGCCTGACGGCGATCAAGCTGCGAAACCTTGAGGGAGGAAGAGAAGGCGTTAGACCCATATAGGAGGTCAGGCATGATGACTGACCTCACATACTGGATGTGACTACTGAGGCTCAGACATCTGCGGGACCGCCACAATGCTCCAATCTTCTGCACAACTTTCTTCGCCATCGCGTCAACATGGGGGTCCCACTTCACAGCGGCGTGAAGGGTCACGCCGAGGTACCTTGCTGTTGGGCTCAGGGGAAGCTCTGTCTGGTTGCCGCGGAGAGCGACATGCTGACCCGCATTGCGTTGTGGTACAATTGACAGGACCTGGCTCTTCTTGCCATTTAGAAGCAGATGTCGATGCTTGAGCCAGTCAGCGACGTTGGTGACGGCCCCTGATAGACAGGCTGATGTGGCTAGCACTGATTTTCTGCGGCAGTGCACGGATATGTCCTCGGCAAATTGCAGAGATGGAGTAGGATGGGCTATGGCAGGGACATCACGGGTGTACATGCTAAAAAATGGAGTCGACGGGATGTCTGTCCCAGGACATTTCCTGGGACCGGCGCTGACTCTGCCGATCACGGGCGTTCTGGAGTCGACGGGATGTCTGTCACAGGACGTTTCCTGGGACCGGCGCTGACTCTGCCGATCACGGGCGTTCTGGAGTCAACGGGATCTCTCTTCCGACGTTTCCTTGGACCGGCGCTGAATCGCCTGATCACGGGCGTTCTGGAGTCGACGGG